TAGTAAACCCATCCTGGACCACCCACCCGGGAGGGGTTCACCCTGGTTGGTTCACCCGGGTAAATGGAAAGCTGTGGTGGGGCCTCCCCCGGCGGTGGTTGTTTTTTAATAAACCAAGGGGTTTTTTCCCTTTTTTTGAAAGCAGGGGCGGGGAGGAGCAAACTCCCCCTTACCCCAAGCCGGGCCGGGGGATCCTAAAATCCCTTCCCTTTTGGGGGGGGAAAAAAAAAAGGAAAAAAAAACCCCCAAAAAATTTTAAAACCCTTCCCGCCCCCGGCGTAAACCCCAACCAAAAAGTTTTCCAAAAAAAAAAACCCTTCCCGGGGGACCGGGATTTTCCCAACCGACCCACCAGGAGTAATCAACGGGCCTTTTGGGGGGGGGGGGGGGGGGCTACATTTAAACACAGAATAAAATATCGTCTGCCATCTGCCGCCATCATAACATCGACAGTGTGCGTGTGAAAAGAACCAGACCATCATCTACTTCGACCAAAAAATCAACGCTTGCTGCATGTTCTGCGCTCTCTACCAGACCAGACTTGGCAGGGCCGCATATCCTGTGGCCAATCATACCCATCTCATCCGTCATTCCCGGAAGACTACGAAGGGAAATGAAAAAGCTGCATGACAGAGGCATTTTCGGCGTGTTTGGCCAAAACGTCCGCAGCAGTATTCCTGGCTCTACGCCCAGCGCCGTTTTTTCTTCTCTACCGCGCGTGCGCGAAGCGTGGTCAAACTACAAAGCCAACGCCTGCTACCTGTACCTCAACGCGCCCGCTTCCACTTTTGAGTTCATCCCGTCCCACCGACAGAGCGTCCCGTGCAGGCACCCGGAAACGACACGTCCCACGGGACGGTTCGACCGGACACAGCTACATCGACGCGTGTAGCCCCTACCCTGACCTCCTAGTCTCTCATTCAACTTTTAACCGGCCGGGAACGTTTAGCCTTTGTTCCCTTGGTGCTCTCGAGACTGGCCCCGCCGTTACCACGGCACGGACGCTTTTGAGTCTTCCCGGTCTTTCCTGTGCTGCACCAATAAACAACCCTACCCGCCCCCGTCTCTCTCTCTCTCCGCCACGCTCGCTGAAACGACAAACCAGAACGTTGCCGTTCGAGGAAAACCGGATGTCAAAGAGGGGAGCAGACATACCAGTAAACATAAAAAACTAGGAAAGCGGACATACGCTGCTGCTGTACTCCTGCGACAATGCACACACCAAAAACGACCCTCCCTCTCGTCCAATCCCCTTTCCCATCTGATGATGTGAACTACGTAGCAGCGGCGACCAGATTGTCGCGCTTGCTGCGCCACCCGCACAGTACGTCGGAGGGACAAGAGCGTCAACCAACGGAGGAGGCCTTGCTGCCACCCCCCGTACCCCCGCCCCAACTTGGCGCCACTCCCCAAAAACCGATCGTGAGTTTTCTGCGGCCAAGCGAATCGGCTCTTCTTTGTTGACAAAAAGAGCACATCCTCTCTTCGTTTTCGCACCTGGGCGAGAAGCTGAAAACAAAACACCCAAAGGACGGTATTTCAACTCAACCCACAATGGAGTATGTTTGAGAGATCGGGAAGGTCAAGATTGAACACGCGCACTTAAAGAAAAACACGCGGAACATGTTTCCGAATAAAATGGGACAAGGGACGGGTCGTAACCGCG